GGATCCGCGCTGCGTTAGCTGGTAGGGGACCTCTGCATGAATCTCTCCTCGCTCTCCGTTCTCTTTCAGTATTCTCACTCCGTTTGGTGCTCGGCTGAGTTCTTTATCTCCTCATTTGATGTTCTAGGGTTTCAGGATTGTTGATTCTCTGTTTTGCTTAGTTTTTCGGATCTTTGCTGTGGAGGGATGGTGTGGTGCTTCTGCCTAGAGCGCCATCTTGCCGGACTCTCCTGAACTCTAACTTTTAAACTTTCAGTTAGCAACTGGGTGCATTAACCACTTGCACCACTCAGGGTCTCCTCATTGGCCTCAGTGTCTGTCTTTAAATGATGATGGAATTACCTTCATTTTAATGGTTCCTAAACTAACTTTGTAAAAATACTGAGAATACTAGTATGGCCCCTGTTTAATGAAGAAAAGCAAATTCTTATAAGTGTTAATATTTTTTAAATAAAATAAATATCCATGCAAAGTAGATTGGTTACACCTTTATGGTGGATAAAGTGGAATTTGATGAATTAAAATGATAATGTAGATCTATTTTTATTATCATGGAAATAAAGTTCATAATGTATTCCTGGGTAAAAACAAAACAAAAAAAACTCCCAAAGCAGTTTGTTTATTATAATCACATTTTTGTTTTTCATAAAAACAAAACAAAAATAACCTCTATGTAAAATATGTACACACATACCTTGAGACAACATTTGGAAAATTATACAGGCATTTCTCCTACAGTTAAAGTGTCCATACAAGAACTGGATATAGCACAATTAGCTAATTAAGGAACATAATTATACGAACCACTCAGTAATAACTAGAACTGACTGGAAATTAGCATCATAAAAATAGAAGAAAAGCTGTTGCTTACCCTTAGCAGCTATGGACTGTGCTGTAGCAGAACTGCACAGGCAAGCCCAAAGGTGATAGAGGAGACACACCGTACTGAATACATGGATTAAAGGGCAAGGAGGGAAGAGTTTGCGTTTGTTTTGGAGGTTTTGACCTACCATTTTTTCTAAGTTAGTAATAACCAAATGAAGTCCTCAGGTGGCGCAATGGCTAAAACGTTCCGCTACTAACCGAAAGGTTGGAGGTTCAAGTCCATCCAGAGGCTCCTTGGAAGAAAAGCCTGGCAATCTACTTCCAAAAAAATCAGTCATTGAAAACCCTAGAGAACACAGTTCTACTCTGGCATACACAGGGTCCCCATGAGTCAGAATAGACTTGATGGCAACTGGCTTGGTTTAATAACCAAATATACTTACTGTTATGAAAACATATTTATTAATGAAATTACTATAGACAAAAATGTTCTATTGTGAGCCTGAAAGTTCTCTGTTCCCATTAAAACATTTTTTAATATCTTCGTTTTAAATTTTAATTTTATTTATTTTTAATAGGAGATACATTAATAAAGGACAATATTTACAAGGTCCATGATAGTATTTGCACAATGAAACTTTTCCCTCCCACTCCTGTTTCCCAGCCACCCCTCTTCAGCTTCAACTAGTGCTACATGTTTCTTTCTAATTTGATACTTGGAGATTTCTTAGGAATGCACCTGCTGTGTTAAAGTAGAAGAGATTACATATTAAAATGTTATCTGTAGTTATTTTCAAATGATGGGATTACAGGACATATTTATCTTTTTATAGTTTCCTATATTAATTTTTTCCTGAGTAAAAGCATAAAAGATAATTTCCAAAACCATTTTGTTAGACTCTGTGTGGCAGCACGCGTAAGTCTTGCATTGTCACCGCTTCTTAATCACTCCATTTCTCTGCTTCTGGTGTGTGAATTTTAGTCTCGATTAGCAGTCTAGTTAATGCAAAGAAATGTCCTCTTAGCATACTTTCTCTTCCCTACACTTCCTCTGTCCACACCTCATAAAAAGTGTACAACTAAGTCATATATTGAAAATGAATTTCTTATTGGAATTTTCACTAGGGTTTCTGAGTATTATTTGACCCATGCTAATTAAATTATCTAATTAATGTTTAATATGCATAACTCATTTAGAATGTTTGAAGTAATAGCAAAAACAACAACAGCGAATTCTTAAGAGACACTTATCTTTCTGGGATGGATGGGTAAGCGTTATATTTATTATTTAAATGAAATAGAAAACAAACACTTGACAATTGGAAATGGGCTTAGGGGTGAGTGGTCACATTTAAATTTTAGTAATAGGCATTCTGAGCTATTTTCACTATGCCCAGAGTCAAGTGTTTTCCAGTCCTGTAGGGTATGAGAATTATACTCATTTATCCATGAGTATAATTTATCTGCCTCATAGCACACACCCTCAGGCCCAGGAAAATATCAGCCCTGGTCTTGTATTATGCCACTTATAAATTAAACTCCAAATTTTACTTAAAATTATTGTGCTTTCTCTTCTGTATACGCTCCTTCTTCCCTTGTTCTTCATCTTAAATCATTTTTTCTTTCTTGCAGGAGGCTAATGCAATCCTAGGGTGGGAGAGTTGAATAAACACTGATAAAGGATTTACGGAGCCAAGATTATAGTCTAGTTCTCTAACTAGTATCTTGGGCAAGTCACTGGAGTATTCTGGTTCTCCATTCATTAATTTATTCATTCAGCAAATATTTGCTGAGCTCCTACTATGTACTAGGGACTGTTCTAGGTGCTAGGATACAATAATGAATAAGACATGATCCCTGCACTTTGGTACAATGCCACCTGGCCCTTCTAGCCATCTCTGAGGAAGCTGGATCCCAAGACAGCAGATGAAGCAGTGGGTGGAACAAGCCTGTGGCACTCATCACCAGCAATCTGACCAGCTAGGCAGTGTGCCAAGTGTGGGCACCTACTAGGTTCCTTGGTAGCAATAGAGAAGACGGGGGGTGGGGGTGGGGGAGACACAGAGCGTGGAAGTGAAAAAAGTCTCTGTCAGGTGGTGTCAGGGACCAAGAGGTGCCAGCGATAGCAGAAGTGATTTGGCTTTATGACCTTGGGGACAGTGCAAATTGTTGCTAGTGATGCCATCATCAGAAAGCAAAGCAAGTGTGTGTATCTGAAGTGGGACATCAAGTGAACCCAGTGAACCAATGTAGTATGATTTGTTACTGTACACAGTCGATAATCTAAGAGAGTCCCAACAATGCAGACTCACTATGAGTCTTTCATTAGAGAGACAATAAATTTGAAGTCAAGGAAAGTCCAGTGAATTTGAAGCAAATCATTTAATAAAATTAAGCTCCTAGTTCTATGGAACAAGAGTCCCTGGGTGGTATAAATGGTTAACATGCTTGGCTGTTAGCTGAAAGGTTGGAGGTTGAAGTTCATCCAGAGGTGCCTCTGAAGAAAGGCCTGGCGATCTATTTCTGTAAGATTAGCCATTGAAAACTCTATGGAGCAAAGTTCTACTTTGACACACATGGGGTTGCCACGAGTCAGAATTGACTTGACATCGATTGGATAATAATAGGCTCCAGCCATGAATAATTTACACCAGAAACACAGTGTCAGAAAATTGAATGCATAAAAAAAAAAAAATAAGTGAATGCTAAATAGTTTCTTAGAAATACAGTTCTTTGTCCCCAAACTGTTTAACCCCCACCTTTAAGCTCTAGATTTCAGACCTCACAGAATATGCAAAATATATTCTTTTGTTTTCCTAAAATAGGAATAACTATTTTTTTTTAAAAAGGAGAAAACTAACACATATTCCTTCCAAAATAAGTAAATACATGAATAATATAGAAGATTATAAACAAAGAAAAATTATCTTAATTTTCATTTGATTATGAAGTAAAACTTTTTATGAGTTAATTAGCCATTTCCACTAGTGTGAATTGCTTACTCTTATGCTATCATTTTAAAAAATATTAGATTGTTTGCCTTCTTTCTTATGAATTTGTAAAAGTTTTTATGTAGTAAGTATATTAAATCTCGGTCATATATTCCATTCTGGTTTGCCATCTGTCTTTTTGCTTTGTGATGTTCTTACACAGAAGTTTTAAGTTTCTACTTTTCTTTTCAATCAATATTTCTACTCTTTAAATGCTCTACAGAATCAGAGAGAAGAGCTTAAGGATTCATAATCATGGTGATTAAAAAAAAAAAAAGGAGTAAAAGGATGACAAATAATACAAGGATTTAAATACACTTGCCAAAAGAGTGGTACAGACATTAGGTGCTGTAGGAGTTTGTCCCATTGCCATCAAGTCCGTTCCAATTCATGGAGACCCCGTGTGTGTGTGCTCCACAGGGTTTCCAATGGCTGATTTTTCAGAAGCAGATCGCCAAGTCTTTCTGCCGAGGTGCCTCTGGGTAGACTCAAACCTCCAACCTTTTGGTTAGCAGCCGAGCATGCTAACTGTTTGCACCACCCAGGGACTCTGTAGGAGTTTGTAACGTCACTGAATTCAGCATGAGCTCTGTGGTTAGACTCGCACTGCATTTGAATCCTCCTCTGTCAGTTACTAACAGTTTAAACTCGGGAAATTTGTTTAACCTGCCTATACCTCAATTTCCTTACCTGCAAAGATAATTGTGTAGGGTGTAAGATTAGTGTAAAGTGTCTGGCATACAGTTTTTAGGGCCTGGTGAAGAAATGGGACTAGAACTGGTCCCAGGGGAGGTTTGAATAAGACTAGAATAGAGAGAGAGAGAGGAGAACATTTGAACCCAAAGATCCTAAGAATACATATGAGGTTGGGATCCACATGGCTGGGAGCTCAAGACAAACGCTGCAGTAGTCACCTCAAGGAGTCCCTCCTGGGGGCAGCTATGAAGTACTCACACGAGTGACTGAAAGCAGCCATCAGGGAAAGAAAACAAAGAAAAAATGCTAGCTATAACAGACGAGAAGGAACTCACTAGAATTTCGTGAAATACGGATAATTTTAAGCATAAAGAAGAAACTGGGAAGAAAGTATCTCAGCCACTTTGTAAAAGGAAATGAAACTCAAGTGGCAGTCAAAAAAAGAAAAGCTGGCAACTTTTTTTTTTTTTCCAGTTGCCGTCAAGTCGATTTCAACTCACAGTGGCCCCATGTGTTTCAGAGTAGAACTGCCCTCCTCTCAGAAGCAGATCGCCAAGGCCTTTTTTCCACGGCACCTCTAGGTAGGTTTAAACTGCCAACCTTCTGGTTAGTAACCCAGCGCATAACTATTGGCATCACCCAAGGACTAGCCAAACCAAAAAACGCATCGCTGTTACATCAATTCTGACATGTAGCGACTCTAAAGGAAAGAGTAGAACTGCCCCATAAGGTTTCCAAGGCTGCCACATCTTTCTCCCACAGAGCAGCTAGTGGGTTCAAACCACCTACCTTTGGATTAGCAGCTAAGCACTTAACCATGTACCATGAGGGCTCTTACCTAGAAATTCTACTTACAGGTGTTTATGCAACAGAAATGTATACATTTGGTCACCAAAAGACATTCATGGGAATGCTAATAGCAGCACTAGTCATAAAA